TTGGCTGCTGTGACAGTCTTCCCAACCGTATTAGAAAATAAACAGGAATTCCTCCCGGAGACTAGTTACCAAAACTCTCCTTGGCCTACAGCATATAATCCTCCATTAAAACCACCCAAAAGGCTTGTCAGCTGGGCCCCAGGAAAGCACTGGGGCGGGGACCTGTCTCCGCCTCTCATCTGGGCTTTGCTCAGGCATCTGTTTCTTTCTCACTCCTTGTGGACTCTTTGTTTCTCATGGTTGGGTATGAGGCCACCAGCAAGGTCTGAGTTTTACGTTTCATAGTGGGCAAGACTTTTCCTCTCTATGCTCTCAAGTTCAAATAGTGCAAGGAAAGTTTGGGTTTTTTTCTTTTTCAACTGACCACTTCAGCTTATTGGACTGTAAGTGTGGTTTTGAAAGTGTCAGCCTAGCCAGACTGGGTTTCTACCCCCAGAAAAGCAAAAGGGGCCAAGGGAGAAAATGGCAGTGCTCAAGGAAGCCCCAAAGTAGGGAAATAAGTTTCCACAAGTAGTAGAATTCCTACTCCAGAAGAAGAGCAAATGCAGCAACAGGTACCTTAGGAATGGGGAGGGAGTTTTTTGTTTGTTTGTTTGTTTAGTTTTGCTTTATGCTTGGTACTGGGGATTCAACCCAGGGCTTTTGCACTCTGCTATATCCTCAATCTCTCAAAAACGTATTTGTTTATTTATTTACTTTTGAGACAGGTTCTTGCTAAGTCACTGCCTTGCCCAGAGTGGACTCAACTTAGGTGTCAGCTTCCCAGCATACTGGAATTATAGGTCTCCACCTCCATACTGGCCAGGAGAGTGTTCTAATTATGTGACATTTGAGCCTCATGGAGATCCACTGAGACCAAGGAAATATGGGCAGTTGAAATTACTACTCAAGTTCATAACAATGTATACATTTAATTTTGATAAACAGCAGGGTTAATTCCAAATTAACGGAAAAGGTTTGAACCCTATAGACAGGTCCCTGAGAGTGGCAAACCCTGATATTCTCCCTACTGAATAAGATTTAAGAAGGTGACCATGGCCCAGGCTTGGGGCAACTGAAGTTGTGTAGTTTCTGCTTAGAAGGAGAAGATTGCATGTTCTGTAGGAACATTTTAGACATTTTAGACATTTGGGGACATTTTAGAACAAACCATGCCATATAGGTATATATTGCAGTTTTATCTGACATCTTTTTGGTTCCCCTGTGGTCTCTGGGTTTTCTTAGATTTTTTTGTAAACAGAGGCTGATCATTGGCACCCTCTTGGTTGAAATCTGCTATTACAGCACAGCACTGTTCATGTGGTCACAGGCGCTGGAGAGCGGATACATTCCAGTTGTCCGGAATCCCTGGGCTATGACTTGCAGAAGCAGCTCCACTCCTAGCTCCTATTTTTTTTTTCTATTTCCACCACATTTTCTTTCCTCAGAATTAGACTTTCAGGGAATGGTGTGGCCTGTTTGTTCGCCTTATCTAGATCACTAAAGTTTTCTCCCTTTCCTCAATAAATCTGTTCACTTTTAATTCTGGATCTGTTTTTTTCCTTTTTTTGGTACATGGATGGAACTCACAACCTTGTGCTTGCCAGGCAGGTGCTTATAATGCTGAGCTAAATCCCCAGCCCCAGATAGTTTTTTGTTTTTTGTTTTGTTTTGTTGTATCAGAGATGGAACTGGTGACCTCGTGCTTGCCAGCGAGGCTCTTGTGCCACTGAGCTAAATCCTTGGCCTGTTTTAAGGTTTTTTATTTCCTACTAACATATTAACAACATGATAATGGGGTTTATCATGATACTTGCGTAGATGCACACAGCATGCATTCCTCCCTGCATCTTTCTCAATCTCTAGTAACAACTACTGTGTTTTTCTTTAACTTCCACATGTGGAAGAGAACATCAGCTACTCGTTACTCTGTGTTTGGCCTATTTAACTGAATACAGTGCCCTCCAATATCACTCACCTTGATACACATAACAAGATTTCATTCTTAATTATGGCAGCATAATACTCCTTTGTGTACATGTATCATGCTGTCTGTTTTTTGATGGCTTCTAGGTTGATTCCATAACTTAGCTATGTGGATAGTGCTGTGATGAATGTGGACCTGCAGATGTTTCTTTGGTGTATTGATTTTATTCCTTTAAATCTATAACCAAGAGTAAGATGGATGGATCTTGTAACAGTCCTATTTTTAGTCTTTGAGGAACATCCATTCTGTTTTCCACATTTCCTGCCTAAATAATTTCTTGGTAGTGGAACGAAATACCCAACAACCATAAAGTGAAGGAGGAAGGTTTATTTTAGCCCACTGTGTTTATAGGTTTCAGTCCATAGGGCTGGCTCCAAGGCAAGGCAGTATCACAGAGGAGAAACAGTCCATGACATGGTGGGCAGGAAAGCAAAGGACAGCGAGCCTTCCTTTCCCTTTTTATTCCACTCAAGCCATTAGCTATTGGTTAGTGCTGCCCACACCCAGAATGGGCCTCCCCATTATCCATACCCAGAACTATGCTAAGCCAATCATGCCAATCAATGGACTAACCTAGTATCACATACTTAAATCCAATTCACACAACCACGATCCAGCTGCTCTCAACTATGAATACATAAAACTTTGGGCAGATGTCTAGGTAAAACCTAGAACAGTGCTATACTGATTTATATCTCCATCAATGCTTCAATGATTGTTACTTTTTGGTATTTTTTGTTCATAGTCTTCTCTCCAGGAAGAGATACAGTATTGTTGTAGTTTTTATTTGATTTGCCTCATAGTGAAAGATCTTAAGCATTTTTTACAAAAGCCAATTCAAATGGACAAAAAACCTAAATGTGAGATTGCAGATTCTCAAATGACTAGAAGAAAACATAGGGGGAATACTTGCAGGCTTTGGTATAAGTAATGATTTGCTAAACATGCAAAAAGGACAGGAAACAAAAGCAAAAGCTGACAAGTGGAATTATATCAAACTAAAAAAAAGCAGTAAAAAACACATAGAATGGAAGAAATTATTTGACAACTTTTCTTGTTTTTAAATTTTATTTTAAAGAGTATAAAACCAAGGAAAATAAAACCAATTGAGATAAACTAGTATAACTGATATAGGACTTCAACATCTTAACAAAATCAGCAATAGTTATAATGCCTCTTGTCATCCTCGAAATAGCTGCAGATACCTTCAGACATAGTAAAAATTGAACAGAACGGAATACAGCAGAAACAATAAAAACAAAACAATGAATGCAATAAAAGACTTCAAAATAAGCTAGCAGTAAATCCAAAATGGCCACCATAATATGTCTTGCTATCTTTTAAATAGCTGCTCATGCCATCAGATTTAACATAAACAAACAAACGGGAATAAAACCCAACCCAACCAAACAAGTAAAATGACACGGTTTTCAGGCAGGGCCCACCTCCTGGCGAGGCCTGCTTCTCTGTGAAATATTTTCACCTGACAGAGTTAATTGATATCCAGAATGTATAAAGACCTCACCTTTATGAATGACAGTCCAGCTTAGAAATAGGTAAAAGATCTGAATGTCCACTTCTCAAAAGAAGGAGCACAACTGGAAAAGCACTTGTAACTTCCTCCCGCCATCCGCTCTGCAGCTGTCTGGGACAGCAGGCTTGGCTCTGAGCCTCTGAGCTATCTCTGCACTTCTTATTCTTAACTGCCAACCACCTGTAACCTGTGATTTAACAAGAGAGAAATGAGACTCTTCCTTCCACTGGGACGCTGAGGGCCAGCATCAGCAAATGAGTTATCTGGCTCCAGGATCTCAGGGTAAAGCCAAGGCAGCTGCCCACTTTGGTCAGGTTCCCCCGCCCCAGGGGACTGTGGTATAGCACTGGCATCAGAACACAGAGGGCATCACCCCACATGGAATAAGGCTGGAGAAGAGCTGGGAATATCGTGAGAATGATCAAAACTCAGCACGGGAACACAAGGCGAGCATGCAGTTTTGGGAAAATGGCACCAAGAGATTTGCTCCATGTGGGTCACAAACCTGCGGAGTGTGAACAGTGCCATGTCTGCGGGTCACAGAAAGTCACAGGCAACAAACAGCAGTGCCTGAATAAGGATGCTAGAGCAGCCAAGGGAGCTCATTGGTTCGGAGTCTCCTGAATCGCTCAGTGCTCGCTCCCCTTCAGTGGAAAGGCCTGGCTTCTTTAGTTCTGTAGACCAAGAGGGACGCTGCCCTATGTCTGCCATCAGAAAGTGCAGCTTAGGAACCTGAGTGATTCTGCGGAGATACTTCCTTCCAGGAAACCTTGCCTTTGAGTAAACCCTGCTATTTTTCCTCCTCTGTGTGGGCTGGGCTGCTGGTCTCTATGAAATGCTACTTATGCAGAGAGGCCCTTCTTAAACCAGCGGAGGACAGAATTCAGTGCTTCCCCTTTCTGGGCTTGTGTCCTCTGCTATCCTGACAGCAGCTCCTCCCACTGCTGCACCCCAGGGCTAGGATCCGGAACCCCCTGTCCAGCAGGACTTTCTCCAAGGAGAGAAGCAGTCTCCAGGTCTCACACCCAGGACCTGACAGCTGCAAAGTGCTCTGGCAAGTGAACTTCTGAGTTCTTGTTTCTCATAGAATTAATTTTTTCTAATTTAAATTCAAATGCTTCCAGTAGCTACATCCTGGACAGCAGAGCATCAGGGAAACATTTGTCGAATTCTAGGTGGAGACCTCAGGCTCTGCATGTCACCCATTGCTCCAGAGAGGCCTGCAGACAGAAGCCTTTGACAAGCTTCGATCTGGAATAGGATTCTCCAGCCTACACATGAGCATCTCCTGGAGGAAGTCTGCAGAGAATTTTTGAGTTACATTTGGAGAGATTCGGATATGGAGAGAAAGTGGAGGAGGAATGGAAGAGGAGGAGGGGGAAAGGGAGGAAAGAAGGGAGGAAAGGAGGAGAAGAGGGGGGAAGGGAGACAGGGGAGAAGGAGGAAGAAAGGAAGGAGGAGGGAGGGAGTGACAAGGGGAGGGAGGAAGAAAGGAAAGAGGGAGGGCGGGCTGGCTGCAGGCCACCTCCCTGGAAGCTTCATGATTTGCACACGGCCCCAGGGACGGGCCCCAGGGCGGGTCCTGAACAGGGGCTCGCTAGCTCCTTTCCAGCCGGAGTGAAGTCGTGGGCCCAGCCCAGGCGCTGGAGCAGGGCCCGGCCGGCGGGGTGAGTACCCTGGGCCTCGGGCTTCCCAGTCCTGCCCACCTGCAGCTGCAAAGCCCAGCGGAGGCAAAGGGACAGCGGCGCAGGCGGCGGAAACTGAAAGTGAAATCCGGGTGGTGCAGGAGGAGGCCGCGGCTCTGGGAGGGAAGGGAGGGCGCCGAGCTCACATTACCAGGAAAGATACTGCCAGTGAGTCAAAAGCAGGAGCATTTAAAAAGCGAGTGAACGCGGTTTAATCAAATCTCAGTGGTCTCTTCAAAGTGAAGGGGAATCTCATGCTTGGTTTTCCTTAGAGTTTGGAACAGAAGGGTTTTGAAAGACTTTGCCATAGAAACGATACATGTTTGAGCAGGTCAGCGTGTTTAACCCGATTTACACTCCACAGTGAAGACATTTTTTCCCAAAACATTTATGAAGTCCTCCCCTGTAGGGTGTTATGATGTTTTTATGTATCCGATAAAAAAGAAATTTAATGAATTTTTTTAAAGAAAAGGAAGAATAAGAAACTAAAATTAAAAAATAGTTTGAAGCCTAGGTTTGTGCTTTAAAACTTGCAAAAAAAATACTAAAGTGATAGCACTTATCTTTTCCACAGAAATTTCATTTATTTAAAGGAAGTACAAGAGGGCGTGCTGGCTCATGACTGTAATCCCAGCATTCTGAGAGGCACAGGCAGGAGGGTTGGCGTGGGTTCAAGAGCAGCCTGGGCTACAAAGTGAGCTCACGGCCAGCTTACTCTGCATAGGGAGACCCTGTCTCAAAAATAAATAGAATAAAATATAAATAAAAATTTAAAAATAAAGCAGGTAGACTGTAAGTTACAGATGGTTTGGCCTCGCTGATGCACACTGAATGCAGATCCTGTACTTCTCAAGGGCCACCTGAGCCCCATAGGGTGAGGCCCATAGTCCCAGAACACCGCCCATCCTGCCTGTGATCAGTTTGCAGTTCCTGAGCTCAGCCTTTAGCTGCAGTGCCTTCTGTTAACCCGGTTGAACTCCGGAGGCTGTCTGTCCCTATCCCCTGCTGGAGGCATCTCCTTGAAACAATTCACCACTTTTCAGGTTAGGCATTCCCTTCCTGTCGGTACACTAACATGGCTTTGCTTTGGTTTTGCTTAATTTTAATTAACACGGGAGAACTTGTGATTTCTTGGCCAACACCTGACGCCCTGGCTGAATCCAGGGGTAGCCTTCCCGAGTGTTCCTGGGACATCTCCTGGCTCTTTGCCCTTTGGAACCTCTGATAGCACTATCTACCTGACCCTTACCCTTAACCTCGGAGTAACAGCTTCTGCTGGGCTTAAACTTTCTTGAAGCGCAAAGCTATTATTTTCCTTGAATAGTGTTGCTCTGCCCACGTTAAAATACTCTCTGGTGTCTCTTCCTCACCTCCATTCCCTTGGAAGATGTTTTCTTACTAGGAGTGCATTTTGGGTAGTTTTTAAGTACATATAATATCAAATAGTATTTACCTTACTACTATTTATTGCCCTATTTTGAAGTTATTTCTCTTAAATTGTTAAATTGTCCATGATAATTTCAAATAAGATGTTTTGTAAATGGTTGTATATTAAGTATTCACTGCAAGAACACATACAGATCCGTGCTTGGATGTTTAAATATTTGCCACAACAAGGAATGGTGATTTCAGATAAAGTTTATTCAACACACATCCAAAAAGAGCTGTCACTGTAACAGTAAATTTGGAAGGAAAAGACCGGATTTTCCTGAATTCTGTTCCAGAGTGCTTGTTCCCCGTGGTCAGGGTGCGAAATAGGGATCTAAATGGTATCCTGGGAAGACTGGGATAGAATTACCTGTGCAGGTTTTTCCCTGTTGCAGCTCCTGTAACCAGACAGGTGAGCTCAACTCGTTGTGTGTTTCCAAATTTTACTGTATGGGGATCTCTGATTCCTGGTGAATTGTGGATTGAGCTCTTTTCCTCATAGAGGAGCTGGGAGTTTTCCATCAGGGTAGCGGGGCTGTCCAGCAGGTCTTCCCACCGGGGTGGGATGGGATGGTTCTGTTGTCCACTCACTGCACTGCGTCCTGGCTCCTGGACCCACGTGGCTCCTCAGCACTGAACTTAAGACGGCTGGGGAACTGAAGGTTTTTCTTTACTTGATTTCGTGAATTTCAGTGAAAGCTCAGTGACCCTCAGGCTCCTGAGTGCCCAGCAGAGCTGTGTAATAAGCTGCTTCACCTCCCTCTGGCCGGGAGCACTGGGGTGCTCACCTGCTGCAGGTGTGTGACTGACAAGATTCTGGAAACGTGTCTTTAAAAAAAAATCCACTTTTTTGGAGTCACAAAGGTACATACAGTCAGAACTATGTAATCATTTTTGTGCTGAGAATGGAACCCAGGGCCTGGTGCATACCACTAAGTTGCACCCCTAGCCAAGATTCATAAACTGTAAACATGCTTACTATGGAGGCCCTGCTGAGGAAAAGAGAAAGGAAAGTGCCTTTACTGCTAGTGGATTCTGAATGGGCAGCCGTGATCCAGCCTATTTATGTGCTCAAACTCCTGTCTGAAAAGTAAGAAGAGTGTTTGCTTGTGAAGCATTTCATAGTTCTGAGAGACAGAGGGTGCTTTGGCATCTGATTGACACAGTACACAGGGGTAATAAACAGAGTTCTGACCCAAAACCTTCCACTCTACAGGAGAATTTTCCTGTACTGTAACAAAAATCAGATCTGGATCTTGGAAGAAGTTGGATTTCCAAGTTCTGAAGAAAAAGCTGATTTTTGATATATCGTACATTAGTGACTTAAGAAGTTTGTTGATAGACTAAATGAACATACTATGTAATTGCACTGTGGTGTTTGACCATCTGCAAGAAGAAATCTTAGTGTATTTTTGATTAATATATACTGTGCAGTAAGCACAATTTGTGCACACATTCACTGTTCCTCACATTGTCATTTTTGTGTCTTCTATTTCAGAAGCTCTGAAAAAGCACAGCTCTGAAGAAAACCAGCTCTTTCTTAGACAACGCCGGAACCATGGGCAGTAATGGAACAGAGCTGGACCTTGGTTACCTCTCCTCGTTCGTAGCAATACTTTTATTTGGATCAAATTTTGCACCACTTAAAAAATATGATACTGGCGATGGTAACTACTTTTCCTTCAGTGTTAACTTGCAATTAGTTCTAAGAGTGTCTTCTATCTTTCCAAAGTGCTGGGTTTAAAAATAAGTTTTGGCGACCTGGTGCCCAGTGAATAGAGCTCAGGATAAATCAGCATTTGATAAAGCCCCAACCACTCCATCAGAGGGGTGGTCAGCACAGAGTGACTCTGAAGTTTATGTTTCAGGGCAAAGCCATGGTGATACCGTCAGGAAACCACTTTGTGTGTATCTGCTGTGTTAGCAGATGAAATAGCTTGCAGTCAGTTCTGCTAATAACATTCATTCTGAAGACACAAACTGATGCCTTTTAAAGTAGTGTGAGCATAGCTCGAGTTTTATGCTTGCTTATGTGCAGTTGTTTCCCTAAGAAAACACTGGATGAACACGGAGTAGAATAAGAGGGGTGGTGATACTCAAGCGTCCATCCATGTGCACCCCCTCCCGTCCTTCTCAGTGCCCCACATGTGCTGTGCGTCACACCCACCCACATCTGGCATCAGGACCTGAATCCACCCACTTCACAAAATTCCGCAAGCTCAGCCCCCCAGGTGCTCCCGTCCGGAAGCAAACCTCAGGTCTTCCTCAAGCAAAATGCCATTCGGGCATTAAATGCAGCAATAAATGCAGCGTTTCCGGTATTAAAAGGCACATTTTTATTAGGTTACTACTTTTTAAAAGACACACGACTGAGAGATATTTTGGTGTTTCTTTTCCAAGCTCCATCTTCCCTGCAAACTTTGTGGGATTTTTTTTTTCATGTTTTTTCACTGTGGGGGATTTTAGGAATGCCTGTGTACAGCATAGCAAAACACTGCAAGTGACTTTTAAGAAAGAAAATACAAGAGTTACTTTTATCCATCTGCCCTCCGTAGCAAAGCCAGAAGGAGGTGAATATCTTTAGTTGAATTTCTATTGAGAATTAAGTTCCTGAGAATTGGCTTTATGTCTTCATACTGCTTAAACAATGGAATTACAAATCACTTTGCTCTAGAGGCTTTCTGCTTTATTCTGCTGGACTCAGGACAGGACTGGAAACCACTACAAACACCACAAAAGGGACAGAGGCTGTGGCTTCTGGGTCCACATTGACAATCAGCTTTTTTTTTTTTTTTTTTTTGTGTCTTTTTCATTTTTATAGGTACCGGGGATCGAACTCACGACCGCCTGCTTGCAAGGCAGGTGCTTATGCCACTGAGCTAAATCCCCAGCCCCAACAATCAGCTTTGTGCTGTGAATGACCAACCTGTTTTCCTCCCTTCCACAGGACCTTAGACCCACGACCTGGGGTGTAGCTGTTCTTCCCAGGGAAGCTATACCCCCAGTCCTAAGCAAAGCTCATCTCTTTCCCTGCAGTTTGTAACATGAAAGCCATGTAAAATCAAGTTCTGTCTCTGTAATGCTGTTTCATTTCTTAGAAGTAAGGGCCTGGTTTTGTTCTCTCTCTCTGCAAGTGAGTCACAATAGGCAGAAACCTTCCAGAGCTGGAGTCCAAGGCAGTATGCTGAGTTATACTTGTCTCAGTGTTTCTCTCAACGCCAGCCACTTCACCACTGTGACCCGCAAGGCCTTGCTGGTGCAGAAGCCTCGGAAAGGCCCAGATGCCTCTCCTGTCCCCAGGTGCTCTTCAGACAGCTGTAAAGAGCTTGGAATGCAGCATAGTGTAGGTCTCAGTGTGTTACTATGAAGCTCACCCGCCTCTCCCACACCTGTGTGTACCAAGTGTGACATCGTAATAAAAATATAGACGGACAGAAAATTCTGAATTTGTGGGGTAGGTGGAGCAAAAGGGAATTAAGCAGTAATGCCCAGTGCATAGGCTTTGGAGTCAAACAACCAAAGTTTAAATTTCAGTTTCACAGAGTGATACTTACAGAACAAGTTTGACTGTCCAACTCATTTGCTCTGTCTCTGGGGTAAGGTTAGTTGTGGTGTAAAGCAGTTATAAAAAAGAAAGTGTGCAAAGGGCCTGGTGTGTGGGCATTTGGTAAATTGTGGCCATTCCCACAGGGACACCTCCCCAGGGGTCCTAAGCACAGATTTACTCAGACCAATCTGAACGCCTGACACCTAGTTCTCCTATTTCCAGGAATGTTCCTTCAGTGGGTGCTTTGTGCTGCTATTTGGCTGGTTGCCTTAGTGGTCAACCTGATACTCCACTGCCCTCGGTTTTGGCCTTTTGCAATGCTTGGAGGCTGCATTTGGGCAACAGGTAATGTGTGATCTCATTTTCTGTGTAATCCTTTCATATCCTGAGAAAATAACTGGGATTCGCAATACAGAGAAACAGCACAATCAGCAAGTCTGAATAATTCTTTGGCATCGATAATAAAAGTAGCTATTTACCTTTTTCATTGCAAACTCTATTTTTGGTACATTTCTTGATTTGTTTCTTTAATGATTTGTAAGTTACTGATAGAAAATTATGATGGTCAAAAGATTTCAATGTTTCTTTTTAAGTATAACTATATGCTATTTTACGTGTTGTCTCTTCTTTCCCTAGCATATTTTATCAAAAATGTTTATTAAAGAGTAATCTCTGTCCTTGTTATTTTTAGGATATATGCTTAAAAGTAGGTGACATAGATATGTAATTAAGCATATTGCTAACAGAAAAACAAAAATCTTTCCTCTATTGCTTTCTTGTACCTGTAATTTGTGACCAGCATTTATATATTTTCTTGACCAATCAGAAATGATTCTTTTCTCCAAATTTACCCAAAAGAGCCTTTTATTTTTAACAAAGAATCAAGGATCTTGAGAGATCGTTTCTTTCAAAACAAGTTTTAAGATGTTAAAAATTTATTTTACCTCTTGATTTGAATCTTTGAGAGATTAAACAGTTTATGAATTAGTGACTGAAAGAGCTAAACTTTAAATTTTTGCTAGAATTTACATCTTCATACTTGATAAATATCTCTGATTTAAATTATCATGCCAGATGGGAAACAGAACGAAACCTAATGATAGAGGGACAGAACCAACCCATCTATCCCCATCCTGCAGGCTGTTTACTTAGTAATGTGTTAATCTTGAGACCAAGTCTTGCTAACTTGATAAATTGTCCAGATTAGGCTCAAAGTCATGATGCTATGGAAGATCAAGTAGGGATTAGAGGCATGGACCAGGCTCCTGCGGAAGGTTCCACTGGGAGCCAGTGAGGGAGGATCCCATGTGAGGGCTGCTGCCTCTGTGCATGCCACAGGTCACAGCCACAGATAGGGTATGGGGACCCAAGGGGCCAGTGATGCAGGATTAAGGAAGGCAGTGGTGTTGGCCCCAGGTGAGGACTCAGGGAAAGGATGCATTGAGAAGGGGAAATGATGAACTCCGTTTTGGGGATGTTTCCTCCACAGAGGAGATCCACCTACAGATTTCCAGCAGCTGTGTACAGCATCCCGCTGAGACTCCACTAGGTCCAAGCAGGAGCTGTGGCCCTGGAAGTCTCTTTCTTTGGTTGGCAGCTGAAATCTGAAATTAGGTCAAGTATCTAAAGAAGAGTTAGCAACCAAGCGAAAGAGTGTGTTCCAAGGGCAATCCCAAGGAGGCACCTCAATCTAGAAAGTATGGTGAGAAGGAGCAATCAGGGAAATATGGGAGGAAAGGGAAAAGTGTAAAGAAAAAAGCTCGTAAGAAGAGGTTACAGGATCAGATGAAGTTTTTGAGGGGTTAGAAACTATAAAAAACAACAGAACAGAACAGAATAAAACCGGGCTTGGGGGCAGGTACCTGCACTGCCTGCTAATTACTCAGGAGCTGAGGTGGAGGGTCACTTGAGCCCAGGCGTGCCAGGCCATCCTGGCCAACAATAAACCCCATCTTAAAACAGCAAGAACAACAATAAAAAGTACTTTAAAAGCAATCATGGATAAGGCCCCTAATGACCCTGAAGAACACACGGTAATTAATGTGAAAATCTAGAAGACAAACCAGTGAGCAAATTCTGGGGCCACATTGGAGCCAAAAGCTTCTCACAGCTGTTGGCCCCAGTTTGAGTCTAAGGGGTGATACTCTGATTTCACCACAGACAGCTTCTGCAAAGAGTCCCACGATAGAGACCTGCGTCAAGGCTGACAGCATCTGTGCGGTTAGCAGCTGGCTCATAACGTGATAGCAATCATAATCATAAACGTGATGCCAAAAATGGTTATTTTATTTTAAAAATGAGGAGCTATACAAAATGTGTCCAATCCATTGAGATTCAGTTAGTTTAAGGATATACATTCTTTCTGTGTTGGAAATAACATTATTCCCATGTATCTCATCTGCAGGGAACATTGCTGTTGTCCCAATTATCAAAACCATTGGCTTAGGCCTTGGAATCCTAATCTGGGGATCCTTTAACGCTGTAACTGGCTGGGCAAGCTCAAGGTAACATGGTCAGACTTTCAGCTGAATTTCTCCGCACCCGTGACTGACGTAAGACGACTGCTAAAGACTAGGCTAGCTGTAAGAATGCTCTCAGAGATTACAGCTGGTAAAATACACACCAAAATGTGATGCCTTTAGTTATCTTTGTCCTCAGTTATTCATGAGTGGCCTAGGTGTTTTATCAAGATGCAGCAACAAAAAAATCGAATCAAAACCAAGAAGCTTTTAAAGAATTATATCCAGGAAACACCTAGGGAGAAGAAAAGGAAAGTGATGTCTATTTTCCTTTTCTGTTGTGTATTTGCTGGGTACATTGTGTACATTATTCTTATCTCCTTTGCACAACTATATGTGTATATGCAAGGTAAGTGCTGCATTGTGGGAGAGCTGGTACTCAAAGAGGTCACTTTCCAGAAGTTTCTCAGAGCTAGAAATTCAGAGCTCAAACCCAGTTTCCTGTTCTAAACTACATACTTGACCCTTCTTGCATGATCAGCATCTGTAGCCCTCCCTTCTCACTGTGTTTATAGAGTTTTATTAAAACACAGCTATGCTTGGCCCTTTTGGTATTGACTATGGCTGCTTGTCCTCTATCCTTGCAGACTGGGTAATTGCCAGATAATATCAGGCTCACAGAGTCTAATATACTCTTTGGTCCTTTAAGTAAAAGTTTGCTAACGGGGCTCTAGAGTGGAAATTCAATTAATTAAAATTTGATAACGTGAAACATGGAGTCTTGGAGCTGTACTAGCCACATTCTAGGTGCTCAGAAGCCACGCATAAGTGGAGAACACCTATCTTAGTTCCTTTCTTGTACCTGAGAGTCACGACTTAAAGGAGAAGAGATTTATTTTGGTTCACAGCTTGCAGATTTCAGTCCATAGCTGGGTGGTTCCAGAAACAGTCCATGGCAGGGATGGCAGGAAAAAGTAGCAGCAAGAGTTATCCTCCCTTTCCCATTTTACTCCATTCCGGCTAAATGCCTGTTGGTTGCTGTCAGCCATAACCAGGGTGGGTTTTCTGTCTTTAGTAATGCTGCCATCCACACCCAGAACGAGGCTGAACCAATCTGTGGACTCATCCATGACCACACTTGTGACCCAGTCACTCCCAAAAGCCCCACTTGGGAGTGCTGGAGGTTTTGAGTGGCACAGGTGCTGATGTAGAGCAGCCTCATCATCATGGATAGGTCCCTTGAGCTGTGTACCCTCAGCTACCATGAAAACCAGCACCCCAGTCAAGTTTGGGAAACAAGGTGAATAATGTTGACCTTCCCACACTTTTGGGGCTTCCCCCTCCCTCAGAAGCATTATGAACTCCCAAAATGAATTTATTTACCTCCAATATATATGTTCTTTCCTTTCCCATTGAGTAACCCTGACATTCACAAATACTACCTGTGTTTTCTTCTCGCCTCTCATTCTCTTGTTCCAAGATGGTTCTCAGTGATTCTTTGCAGTGATTGTGACAATGTTAAAGCATGAAAAAAATTAATTACTGTCCAAGAATATAAATTTTTAACTAGAGATGTTTCAAATACTATACAATGGCCAAGGGCATAGCTCAGTAGCACAGCACTTGCCTAGCATGTGTCAGGCCCTGAGTTTGACCCTCATGACTACAAATAATACATTAATTAATTAATTAAATTTTAAAAATCTTATAGAAGTTGCAGCCATGTATTTAGCATTCATCTCACCATCTGAACTATATTTTCCTTCTTCCTTTAATCTTAAAAGGGGTTCTCTCTAGTAAATACTTTCATGTATATTAGCCTACTTAGTGTTTATAACAGCCTATACAATAAGGACAGCTGTTTCTCCATTTTTAATGTGGAAATTTGAGCCACATTTATGTAACTTATCCAAAGTTAAAATTAGTAACTGTGAGACCTGGAATTTGAACCAAGAAATATGACCCCAAGCCCATGCCCTGAAGCATTGTATTAAGACATTTCAGCAATACCTAAAGATGTGCCTGAATTTCCAGGTTTGGCTGGTTCGGAATAGATGCTGAGGAGGTCTCAAAGCCAGTGTTGAATTACATCGGAGCTGCACTCTCAGTGATAAGGTACCTAGCCATTTTTCACCTCTCAGCTGTTCTTCCAAACTAAATTCGAGTGCTTTTAAAAATTCTGAGATCTTTGCATTTTTTCCTAAACTTATTTTTTATACAATCTGTATGATTTTTCCTCCAATTCTTAATTTACAATGACAGACCAGTCTTATAGGACAAAATAACAATTCTAGGACAGGAGACCGAACTTTAGTTCTCAAAACCTCTGAGACACTGGGAAAATCACCAGCTGCTTGGAACCCTGGTCCTTTATCTTACACGTAGACAGTTGCACTACAGCTCCTGAGTTAGCTGAGGGTATATATTAAATATTTTGCAAACTACAAGGTGACACGCACATAAATCTTATGTGGGCTTCCTGATACCCCTGGAGCAGCCTCTCTCCTGTTCTTTCTTCTGTTCATTACAGCTGTCCCCTCTTATGTCACAGGACGAGGCTAACCTTATCATTTATTGCTCTTTAAAATCTTAATTGAGCACCCCTACACAGTGACTGTGCTTTTGCGGTTTGCAGTGACAGTCAAACTGGCACACATTTATCTTCTTCACAATTTCACGGACAGATTTACTCTTTCCAGGATTTTGAGCAAATTCTGTACAGTTACTTTTCTTTCCTTCTGGAGTTGAAATCTTCCACCTTTTTGGCATAAAAGAAGTACCTTTCCACTACGCTTTGGCATGTGGGAGCCAGAATTGCTGCTGCTTTGCTTTGGGGCCAATAATAAGGGAAATAGAGGTTGCCTACACCCAGTACTGCTGCAGTGCCATGGGGATTTGAAGTGCAAGAAGTCTGCTCAGTATCTCCATGGGGTCTGCACATGCAGCCTGGAAGCTCGCTCTCTCTCTCTCTCTCTCTCTCTCTCTCTCTCTCTCTCTCTCTCTCACACACACACACACACACACACACACACACACACACACACACTGTCACTCACACACACACTTTGCGTTCAAAGCCCAAGAACAGGAATGAGTCTGGCATGCTACTCAGAACGACTTACCATTTAAAAACTTATGAGGTGTTTATTTCAGAAATACCAGTGTATGTTTGACTGAGGGTGAGTGAAATCAGGCAGAGAACCCTTCGTTAAGGGTTTGCTCCTGTGCTCATCCTGTCATCAGCTTCTGTCACCCATTCCCCCGCTCATCCCCTTCAACTCCCTCCAGGACCCCTCTGTCACCCTACAAAGCACACTCTCAAATGCCGGTTTTTGGATGTATCTGTGGCCAATCATCCTCACCCTAGGAACGTGAATGGAAATGACTGATTATATGGTTCTGGGTCAATAAAACCCTAAAAGAATTAGGTCCCCTTAAAATCGGTACCCCGTCCTCTCTCTGCAGTGCCTTCCGGTGTAGATCACCCTGTGTAGAAAGTTCTCAGTAGGTTTTTATTCTTCAGGGAAAGAAGGGCACATTCCCTTCCTTGGCAGTGATGGCTTTTTCCTGATGGCTTTCAGGAACAATCTCTTTGTCACTGAAATGTTGCCTTAGAGAATAGTCCCAGAGCAACTAGAGAAGAAATAACATAGATTATTCTAAAACAGTAGATTCTTGACACTTTTTGGTTACAGGCAATTTTATGTATTTTAGACAATTTCACAATGAATTCTGCCTTTGAATAGCTTTCTCAAAAACCATTTCTTCATTTTCCAGAATTGTAACCCATCCTGTGATTTAATGCTAATTTAAAGCCAGTTCTTGTGGGGCACTAAGACCTTGTTCTCTCCATGTTTCTGCGTCTTTGGGAAACAGCACATTCTGTACAGTTATAGATCACTGCTCTTGCTCTCCCTGTTACAAGGTCCCTTGTGACCTTGAGCAGATCTCTATTTCTTCAACCTATGACTGCTTCATCTGTAAAGAGGGGAATAGTAAGAAAACCATTCATGTATGACATTTTAGGGATGAATAAAGTAACAAGTGATTTGTATGGTGCTATGCAATGATTTGTATGGTGTTGTGCAGATACTCAGTACTCTCTGTAGCAGGTAGTTTTCAATATGATTAGTATTTTTATTAATAACGGTGCCAGTTGACTTTCTGTTACTGTAACAAATACTTGATGCCCTGAGCTTTTAAAGAGAAAAAGGGTTTAGGGCCCAGGGACAAGAGATTTCTTCCGTGACCATTTGGTTCTGCTCTGAGCCTATAGTGAGGGGACCGTGGGACAGAGAAAAGCTGCTCACCTCATGGCTGGAAATGAGAGAGACGAAGAGGAAGGGGCTGGAGTTGCAGTACCCACTTACGGGCATACCTGCAGGTCCTCACACTGCTTCCCCTCTGAGCCCCTGTTGTCCAGCTTGGCGTTCCACTGGCTGGATCTAGAGTGGCTGGGGGGGAATGTGATGGCCTTTCCCTGTGGCGTCTAGACTTTCATCTTTGTTTCTCTCCTGGGTAGGATTTTAGTATTCTCTCACTTCATCACCGTAACTCGAATCTGTTTCTCCTGAAAGGAATTCAGTGGCTCAGCCTCATGACTGGTGAAGAGAACCTTGAGATGTGGTTGCAGTGGTTCAGGACACTGTCCTTGTCATGGTTGGTTATCTGTATGGTTACAGAATATGTTAGACAATTTCTACCTGCTGGCAACTTGTGCTGCATGACATATAAGGCATAAGTTCATCTGTATAACCAAAGCCATGCTAAGCACTTTACATGCAGACATTGGCACAAGGAATTGTAGACTCAGTGGAGTGACACCCATAGCCCCAGCACCCATGTTCCATGGACCATTGTCTCTGTGCTGAGCAAATGCTGCTACCCAAATTGCTGGAGTTGCCACCAAACCAAAATGACTCCTCAGCCTTTTAACCTTAAGCGCAGACCTCTCATTAGCAGATCCTCACTGCCAGTAGGGTCTGGAGAACAGAGTTTTCAGTTTCCTAGGCTCTACTTCAGGAGAAAATAGGCAGGACATGTGGTGGCCAGCTTCCCCATGGCTGGGACAGAACACCCCACACCCATACTCATTCCTGTCTCACTTGCTCTTAGCGATGATGGGCCATCTGTGGCTGCATCATTGTATAAGCTTTGTTTTGGCTGGACACAGCTTAGTGCAAGTGAGGTTTGATTTGGCTCAGGGTTTCAGAGGTTTCAGTTCATAGTCACCTTGTGTCTAGGTAGAACCGTCATGGCAGAAGGGAAGAGCAGAGGCTAAGCTCCTCAGGGAACGGCATCTGCAGAAGGCAAGGGAAAAACCACAAAGGAAAGAGAAGGGCCGGACACATTCCCTTCCCCAAGTCCCACCTCGTAACGACCCATACAGCTCTGAACCTACCGAGCAAGCCAGCGTCCTCACCATCTAGTCACCTCTCTAGCAGTCTCTTAATGTACCCAAGGTGACAATCAAGATTAACCAGGTCATGGCAGAGTCAAACTGATACTAAGACACGTTACTCAGGGGCACAGTCTGAAGCATTCCCTTTATGGAAAATACAGGAGCTAGAATCCACACCAACGGCCAGATTTCTTCTTCAATCAAAAAAACAATTGGGGTGGCAGTGTATGTCAGTGGTGGAACCCCTGCCTGGCACAGAGTGCTGAGTTCCATCCCTAGCTGTGAGGTGACAATAGTGCTCTGCAGATCATCCTGAAGAGTCTCCGCCGCATGTGGTTTTTTCATCTGTTTTGTCCACAGCGCTGTTTAAACCGCCCCCCCCCCCCAGCTTCAGCCACTCTGAGGAAACTCAGATCTTTGTCTGCAGCACTGCCCCTCTGCAGGTCCACAGTCTTTGTGTCTGGTGGTGCACCAGGTTGGACGCCCCTCTGTAGACGTCCTAGGTTTCTCCTCGGTTCTGTGAGGCAGCGTGGGGCACAGGACCTTGCCAGGCACATGCCACAAACACGAGGCTGCATCCTGCCCTCAATGCTTCCCATGCAGACTCCCTTCCCCTTCACATCCTTCCCTGAGTGCTGGTTCCTCTCCCCAGTTCCCTGAGTTCCCTTCTCCACGGCACATGAGCCACGCTCCTTCTCATCAAAGGCCTCCGATGTCTTTCATGTCCCCCTTCAGACTCTGCCCCGAGCGGAACCCTGTAAATTTCATTCTGAGTGTTGTAGGAGTGCTTTCTTCTGCTTTCCTTGGGCCCTTTCTTTCCTACCCTCACTGTGCTTCCCGAACTCTCTTTTCTGCCTGCCTCCTTTCACGCTTTCCTCCTGTGAGCACGGCTAGCTCCGATCTGCTGTAAAGCCACTCTCCGTGGGTTTGCTGTTCTAAAACACCCATGGCTTCCCGATGGATTCAGAATGAGCTGTCCATAACCGGGCTTGTCCCCAGCTGTGTGTCTGTGCGGGCGTTCTTGCTACCGCATGACTCATCTTTTACCTGAACCCTGCTCTCATTGCCCCAGGAATTTTATCACACCAGAAAGACTTCCCTCAGCCCTTCAGCCCTTTGGCCACTCCTATCCTCCCATTCCATGTGAGTTTTTGATATCTTTGCCTCTACTTAGAATGACTCTCCCTTCAACTACCATAGCTCTTTGTATTTCTTGTATTATTGAAGTTCTCCGCACCTGCTTTACATCCCTCACATAGTCGTCTTTATTTCCCAACTGCAACTCCAGGAAAGGGAAGAGGTGTGATTTTCTGTGAACACAGTCCTTCTCACCCTTTCCTTCACATGTCGCTGCCCACCGGCCTCTTGGCCACACTAAGCTGAGTGGCTTCTTCCTGCCTGTCCCCAGACCCAGCGCTCATCACACAGGCTCCAAGCCCTTGGCAGCCCTGGCGTCTTCTTCACCCTCCTGGGCTCTCTCAATTTAGCATGCGGCGAAAGCAGACTGAGACTATGTATGTGTTACTGCCTAACTTCCTTTACAGCTCTGTGCAGAGAGTGCATCCCCAGTCATTTTTAGAAGAAAGGTACCACGCTCATACATGCGAAATAATTTGTGGGAGAGGTAAAGAGTTATTTAGGAAAACATCAAAGACATCTAGACTCCTCAGATGCACATGCATATATATATTTAACTCATTTATGCATATGGTTAGGTTTTGTGCATTCAGTCACTGAGTGTTACTCTTTGTTGAAGACCTTGGAGAACACATAACACAGCAGATCCTAGACTTTGAACATTCGAGCTGTGACCTTTCACATATACACTACATAAACCTCACTTTGTCAGACTTAGGAACAAATCCAACTTAGGGACACTCTCCCAGCACACAACTTGCTCATAATTGGGGGCTTAGCCTGTAGTTCTTTCCTTCTTTTGAGCTGGAAAGCCTTCAGGGAAAACGATGCCATGGAATTGTAGTAAATAGTCTTGGTTGGGTTTTGAGTCCCCTCAGCACTGCAGGAATTCTGAGCTGAGGAAGACGTTGGGAGGCCTGGCAGGTCTCTCCTCTACTGAGCTGAAGGCAGCTCTTCTCTAGTTTGTACAGGAAGAGGAGCAGATGCAGTGCTTCTGACTAGAAAAAACTTACAAAGCAAGCATGGGTGCTTGTGAAAGACTGCGAAGGGAGGAGGTAAGCATTTGGATCAGGATGCCATCAAGAATCCAGGTCCAGATGAGGAATTACACTGGAATAATCTGTGTGATACAAAACATAACTGCAATAAACTGGATGATAACCATGCAGAGAGCAAGAAAAATCGAACAGGAAAGTTACATTTTGTATGGGAGGGAATGGAGCATTGCAGATCTAAAAGCAAGTGATACAGTTAGGGAGCTAGTTAGGACATTTTAATTTTTATATAAAAGCATATAATACATGACAATGCTATACCTCTCCACCTACTCCCTCTATTTCTCCAACTTTTCAATGAAAAGATAGCAAATAGGTGCTCTGAAGCTTTTTATTTCAACTTTATTTTCCCCTGTATCACAGTGGATAATACCCAGGTGTCACATATCCTAAGAAGACACTCTGTCCTCTATCAGGAGCTATACCTCCAGGCCCCTGTCTTCAGTTTTCAACCATGCAAATGTATTAAACATATTTTAAAAAGAATATCCAAAATATCCCAAAGTTCTTGTGTTAGTTTAATACTTTAATATATTTTACTACATGTGCATGGTTTGAGAACTAGTAGGAAGTGAGTCATTTGCTCTGAAGACAGTGAACCTGGTTAGACAGAGGATAAAGGGAGGCAGTCACTAGGACTGAGTGTGCAAGTTCACTTCAAAATATATCCTGGAGATCTTTTAGTATCAGAGCACAGAGAGCCTCTTCCTTCTTGTTCCATAGCTGCATACTATTCCATTGCACGTATCCTCCACTTTTGTGAGGGTGGCTGCCCCCATGCTAGGGGACCTGGAGTAGAACTGAGCACAGCAGCAGTGGACACACCCGTGGCTATGGAGGACAGCCTCGCTTCTGCTCTGTGGGATTTGTACACTTCTACACTCGCATCCATGTCATAAGAATTCCTGGGACCTATGCTATAGTTTCTGCAACGGAGGAAACTGTGAACCTTTGGGGATCTTGCAGTGCAACTGGCGAGGAATATTATTTCAAAGCAGTTCTCATTTGTATTTCCTGTGCAGTGTGATTTCTAATTTGCAAAGGGATAAAATTGAGAATTCAGCTATTGACTGAAATAAGAGAAACACAGTGTACACCCCCAGCGTCAGATCAGGCTCCACGGCCTCAGGTGTGGGAGGAATTCCCACCCACTCCTGTAATTTCATAGAAACCACAAATATCCTCCACGATTTTTTTCTTGGTGCAAGTTTTGCAAGTGGCCAATCCAAGGGTGTTATTCAGCTCTGCTTGCTGCTGATTGGCTGCTGCCTTGTAACCCATCTCCAGGAGAATGCACCACCATCTGGCATCATGACAAATTCCTGTACCCTTGTAGGTATCTTGAGTATTCTCAGTCTTGTTCTGTAGCTCCCTTAAATGCCTGCATTTTGTAAGGCTTGATTAATATAGTATTTTGTTAAATTAAATCACATAACTGTGGAAGACATAGGATACTCAGGATTTAAACTATGAAAATAGGCATTCATAGAGATTTTTTCTGACCATATCTGAAATTCGTGGTTTTCCACAATCTGCAGGTGCTCTAGCCTGAGTTTCATGAGTCCACTGTACATGGTTAGGGAGGAAGCTTGAGGTTTGCTTTTAACTTGTTGATATCAAGAAAAGCAAGAGACACCAAAGGGAGCAGCAGTTCTGGAAAAGTGGCCCAAAGACTGCGGGAGCCCTGTGGGAGGCCATCAGAGCCCTGAAGCCTGCTGGGCTGAGCTGCGTCCTCTCCTAAGAATCAAGCAGCTTGAGAGTAACCGGACATAGGCAATTGCGTGTGTTTTCTCTGCAGTGCCTTCATATTTCTATTCATCCAAAGCGAAACACCACGGAACACTTGTGCACCCGAGACCACGCCGTTGCTGGCGGAGCACGTGAGTACTGTATCAGAAACAACTTGATTCAAAACAAGGAAAGTAAAAGGGAAATGCACGAATGTGAGACCGCGGGAAGGTGATTGCTCTGGACACTCGTGGCTATGGGACACTCGTGGCATTTACTGTGAGGAGGCCTGCGGGACAGTCATTTTCACCATGGGAGACCTACTGGGTCACACAGGGTGTGCTTTAGTAGAAGCAGATCCCTCATAAGATGGTGCATGTTAGTTGTGGTTTTATACAGTAGGGGAGCCCCCAATTCCGCAGAAGGAGGAGCAGGATGGTTCTGAAGCAGACCTGAGAGAAGAGAGAGACCCAGAGGTCCAGCGAGTGTGTCGGGAAGTCCTGGGAAAGTAGAAGTCATACCTGAGTTTCTTCCGAGTTCTCTTTTTGGCCTCCGTCCTATTCTACTTAAAAGTAACCACAGAAATAGGTGAGGGGTCACTGGTTCAACCTTGAAAGATGTCAGTCAGTTTGGACTAGCAAATCTGAGTTAACTAAGAGCCACCTGAGAGAGACCATCTCTCTCACGAGTATGTAGTCAGTAGCAGGAGAATTGGCAGCTGCATGCATCAAAGGACGAGGAACTGGCTGCTGGCCACCTGTCTCAGCCATGGCCTCGCTGCCTCTGAACCCAGGGCTGCACACCCCACTGAGGTTCCCACTGAGGTGGCCCCTGCTGCCTCTCCCCCTCGTTCCATGGTTACTCCTTGCTCCTCTCCTTCCTCATCTGACAAATAAGATGACTAAAACCTCAGTTTAGCTACCACCAAAGCTGAACAGTTATTTACTGCTGGATAAAAGAGAAGGAGTTTATGAATGCACAGGTGTTCCCAGCTGGAGGATTGTTCTGGGGCAGCTGGAGATACTAGCATCCGGAGAACATTTCTGGTGTTCCTTTCCTACCTTGGGGATCCAGATACTCCCTAAACAAGCAAGTTTCGCATATAGGATCAAAGTAATGCAGCTTGGTCAAAGGTACATAGCAGCTGACTAAATCTTTCTAGATAAGATGGAAAAATATGAACAAAGTGCAAAGACATGAAGGAACTAATTTTAAAGATTTGTGGAGAGCAGGATTAGTTCATACACAGCCATACCGCACCGGCTCCTTCCAGGGAAAGAAAGCATTACTGGCAAAGGAAAATTTGGCCTAGCCCATAACAAAGAATTCAGGTTTAGTTTCTTAACTCTTACAAATATCCAAATGGTAGAAGAATATCCATCCTTTCAGCTAAGTGCACAAACAATTGCATTCAGTCCTAGAGAGATTATGAATTGATACATAATTTTCTGGATTTTATGATGTTATCCTGATCTTGAAACATAGCTGGAAGGCTTTCATTAACAAATTCAGATTTTTAAAAATCAGTGTAATGTGCTGATTGATTTTAGGTATTCTGAGCTAGGAAAACCTGAGATTCTCTTGGTTCTAATGTCTTCAGAAACTATTGAAATATGAAAATGAAGCACAAGAGTTAATAACTTGGTTTTGAGTTTTGATAGAGTTATCTAAATAGCCACACATCGAATCATGTCCTGCGAGGGCTGCCTCACAGTTGAATGTGCCACTGTTTTGGAATCTCCCTAGACCTGCTGCAACCCCCGGCTTAGTGGGCTCTGTCCTTCAGTTTGTGCTAATGTTCCCACAGGCAATCAACTCAGCTCCAGACCCCTGTGCCGGCCCCACCTGGGTGGACAGACTCCCAGCAGCGCATCGCCGCCTGCTGTAAGGACGGGGCCCTCTCTCTTTTGCTGTGCTTTGTATTTGGGTAAAGCAGGGTTGACCAGAGTGCAGAGATCTTCATCTGAATTCTAAAAGAAAACGATCCTGCAAACCCTGAAGTCTAGCTGCTTGGGTGAGGTCTTTCTCATGGCGTCAGACTAGGTGCAGAGAGAGGTCTTCTGTACCTGCAAACTCAGCTGCTCCAAGAGTTGGTGAGCTACCTCAGATCAGAAGGGTAGCAAGCAGAGGACAAAAGCAAGTTCATTTCACAGGACTTTGTCGCCATAGTGAAGGCGGCAGTACAGTGAGCAGTGCATCCCAATGAGGCCATGCACGGCTTTCTCCACACTGAGTCCATCCTGAGGACTTGGGGTCAGCCTGACCATCAGCCCTTTTGTGTTAGGGTATAGATTCTGAGCTTTTTGTTGGACTGACAAAGAAATTTAAAAATATTTGATAGTACACAACTTGCATTTTACGTTCAAAACTGTTTTATACATTCTGTTTTGTTTTATTTTTGAGACAGGGTCTCACTGTGCAGTGCAGGCTGGACTTGAACTCACTATGTAGCCTAGGCTGGCCTCAAACTTGCAGCAATCCTCCTGCCTCAGCCTTCAGAGGTCTGGGATTACAGGCACGGGCCATCATGCTTGCCTATCTTCAGCTTTGTATGCTGATGCCTTCTTTGAACTAAAGCATATAAAGTTGGTTGTTTTGTTTTGCTTTGTTTGTTTCCTTTGCAGTAGCAAAGGTCAAAACCAGGGCCTCACTCAGACTAGGCAAGTGCTCTCCTGCTGAGCTCTTCTCCAGCATAAAGCTTTTCTTCCTTCTCATACACTACCTGCACAGTGGGCAAAGAAAGCACAGTTAATATTTGAATTAATTAAATGAAGGAGGGAACGACCAAATAAGTGAGCTTTGGAGAGGATGAATACATTGCAATTTTTGCTTTAGAATGAAACAAATCTGTCAAGCAAAGCATCATTTCTCCAAATACTTTCAAATTCTGTTTTTTACAAAACAGCTCCTGTTAGTGGAATATTCACTAAGAAAAAGATTTTTAGTTCTTTTAATGAGCCAGGTCTGGCCTGTGTCTTGGTGAGGAGGGGCTTGAAACCTGCCCTACACTGGCATAGGGATTTTCCGGGGGACTAGAAAAATTACGGAGGCCACCATGAGTCTCATAGCCCTTGGGTGAAACTTATGAAAGTACGATTCTTAAATGAGAAGTATTAGAATCCATGAAGAATTTGGTTACAAACACATGAGTAATGATCAACCCTTCCTAAAAGCCCTGGAAAGAGATTTCGTGCAGCCCCGAGTCCGAGGAATCTTTGAGCTGGGGGTAAAGCCCAGGTCCAGTGCATGTGAAGCCTTGGGTCTGAGCCCCCGCACTGCAAAACAAACCGACAAAAAGGGACGCTGTTATGCCAAATATCCAGATTGGTTTATGAAGTCAGCACTTTCCTCCGCCACGCTGCAGTCAAGAAATGTACACACAAGCCTGTGGATCTGAATAGCTACTTTGCACAAAAGTATATTTAGTACTTAGTCCTACTTCTGTGCTGGATATTTTAGGGTGTTTTAAAAAGAAGCACTTCAGTTCACAAATAACTCAGAATTTAATTTGAGAACCCAGTTTTTTTTTTTTTTTTTTTAATGTAGACTGTGTAACCTGATAGTAGCAGCCTTCTCTGATGGTGTGTAATGTCTAATCTCAGCAAATCCATTGTAACCTCCGCAAATCACGCACTTCCAGAATTAGATGAGGTGCCGAGGCTCTCCTGTGGGTCCTGGTGTCACTCAGCATGGCAGGGTCTTTCTGTGAGCTCTGCAGGTCCCAGAGCTAGAGAGAGATCCGTGATTTTCTGCTGACTTGATGTGATCTTCATTTTGAAGCATGCTTCATTTAATGTTATTTGCGTGTTTGTCAGAAGTACTGTGTTATGCTATGCGGAGTCATAGTGATTGGTTGATTGACTGATTCTTTTGGGACCAGGGATCAAACTCACTACCTTGCACTTGCCAGGCAGGCGTTTTGCTGCTGAGCTGTATCTCCAGCCTCCTCGTGATCTAATTTTGTTCTTTAAGGGGCTGCAGCCTTGCGGTGCTATCTGGGACACTCTATGGGTCTACATTTGTGCCCATCATTTACATCAAGGACCATGGCAGAAGAAATGACAGCATGTATGCAGGAGCAAGCCAGTACGGTGAGAGGAAAACGTCACTTTACCTCATCATGGAGCTAATTAACAGCGACTTTTCAAGGAGTGTAGAGTTGTGATGGGGTAATATCAGTCTGTAAATCTGACATTACTTTTTCATTTCTAAGTAGTCCATGAGGAAGGCACTGAAGACTCAAGGTAGTAAAGGAGCATCTGAATATTTTTATTTGATCTTTGACATTCACACAGAATCAACTAGGTAGGATTCACTTCAACCACTGGAATTTTAGCATCTGGTTTCCAGATTTCCAGTAAGTTATAGAGTATAGAGATTATTTTCCATTTAGATCACTTCTGGGAAAATATGTATTCTTCTCCCTTTTTTAAAAAAAAAAAGCTATAGTACATAGTACTTTTAAATCAAGGAAAGATCAAAGTACAGCTGACTTGGTGAGGGGATATTATTTTTCAAGCGGAGTGGTGCTGAAAACCCCAACATAATGCTTCCTGATAACGTCAGGAAATTCATCTGGAAGAAAATGCAGTGCTCTATCTACATGGTAACCTTGACCAGGCTCCAAAGGAAATGAAAGAGGCTGTGCTGCAGGGCTTGGTTCACACTCAGGATAAGGGAACGCATCATGCATAAAGTAAAATTCTAAATCAGAGTGGGCAGAAAGAGACCTGCATTTCATAAGGGAGAAATTCAGAGAGCAGAAGTCGTCAGGGAAAGACTGATGAGGAGGCTGAGGTGAGAGGCAGGGTTTCACCCTCTCAGCCTGGAGAGACCGGAAGTGGATGCCTGGCTTCCTCCTCTCTTCTTAGAATCCTATGCCGCACTGAAGCCTTCACTGCCTGCTGTTTTCCAACTGACACTATGAAAATATTCTTTTGTATTTTTATTCCTTTTTTAAAGGATTAAAAACTAATAAAAATAGGCTAATTTTTTAAAAAGGGGAAAAATGAGAGCTCCAGGAATGAGTGTGAGAACTTGGATTTGCACTGGTCTGCGGGCTAGAACTGAGCTGTGGTTTTGGTCCTCATATTTTTTTGTAACCACAATGGAAACTATGCCAGTCCTAGGATACAGTGAACACAAGATACAAACAAGTGATTGTTCAGGAATAGAGTTGTTTTTGGTGCTGGGTCATAGAGAACATTCTCTTCAAGGATCTCTTTGAATACATAGAACAATGAGCTCTCATGAGTGCATCTTGGCACAGCCCTGGGTGTACCCATGGGAGCACTCTTTACCCCAGTGTATCCCAGGATCCTTCAGGAGGGCTAGCTCTAACTTACTTATTTAAGAAGCCTGCATGTACTGCACTATGTTGGAAGGGCTCTACAGATACTAACTTGGTGGCCCCTCGTAGCAGCCAGCATCTTTATCATCCTTGCTAGGAAACTGAGTCAGGGGACAGTAGGCCGTTTGCCCAAGTCCCAAAGTGGATGAGAAGGAGAAAGAGGGTTTGCAGCAGGGGTCTGTGTTTTCAGTCACTGTGTTCTGCTGTCGCCTGTGCTCATCTGTAGACAGGTGCACTGCTCCTCTGGGATTCTGAAGTTCAGTTCAGATTATGGAGAACAGTCAGGTTCCTGACCTCACAACGCTCATTCCTGCACATCGCCGCTCAGCCCTTCAGAGCTTTCCCTGACAGCAGCCTTGGGGCTGACATGGCTGTCCCAGCCCGTAACCCGCAGGGACCCACCAGTGTGGCCAGAGTGCCATCTGCTCAAAGTGTCGCTGGAGCTAGGGCTCCTCAGACATGGGACAGTGCGTGTGCTGTTATTTCTCTGCTTCTCATGGCTGGGTTTGTGCTAAATGACTGAATCAAACCCTCTTCAGCACAACTTCCTGTGGGAACTTCTGCATAACTACCATGGTCAGAGACCTTCTGCTTTCTAGGAGGATCTGTGAGCCATATAACATCGGTGCCTCTTATGCTTTTATCCAAGTCTCCACAGCAGTCAAGCTGGGCATTTGCTGAGGCTGTCATAGTCATTGGTAAAATTCAGCCCAAATATGTGTTTTTAAAGAGAAGTGTCATGTTCCTCGTTCCTGATTCAGCTTTTTAAAGGTGATCATAAAAGTAGCTTTTCTAGATTTGATGAGAGTAATTCACGTAATATTTCTAGGCTTTAAACCTGTTAATTGAATTTCTGTGCAAATTGTATGTGGAAAACTAAGACAGATTCTGATTCCTGTGAGTTTATTTTCTTGGGATGGTTGCAATGTTGTTTGAGAGTTTTATAATTTGTATTTTCAGATTTAGACTATGTTTTTGCACACTTCAGTGGCATCTTTCTTACAAGTACTGTGTACTTTCTGCTGTATTGTATGGTCATGAAAAACAGTCCCAAACTCTACCCTAAGGCAGTCTTACCAGGTAAGAATATTCAAAAATCTTATTCCCATGTGTATGGATCCTCCTCTACCCGGTCAGCCTGGATGAACTGTCTTCTGGAAACTAAGCCATCCCGTGCGTGTGTGTGTGTGTGTGTGTGTATGTTTAGCCTACTTTACCAGCATATACGAAGTACTTAAAAAGCACGGACTGCTGCTTTTTGTTCACCATTTAGGGATTTATATTAAAAATCACAGGTTTTTGACTCTATAAAAATTTTTCTAAAATGTCAACAAATAGGAGTCTGCAGTCACTTGGGAGAAGTTTCCTGAAAAAGTAGTAGGAGATTGTCACCGAGTTCAAGGAAAGTGTGTCAAACACACTTGCTTTTGGCCTTAACCCATTAGGTACTGATTGCTAAATTAATATCAAGCTCTCACTTAGGATTTACTGTAATTCAATTTTGGACTATAGGTCCACAAGTAAAATTTTAGAAGAATAAAGCAAACTTTAGAGGTTCGTGTTCAATGCCCCAGTGACCGAAGCTAGTAGACTAGCATCCAGAAAATAGTAGACTGTTTACCAAATCCCTACTGGAAGTGTTAGAAAACCTCAGCCCATGTTTTCACTTAAAGGCCAGGACTCTCTCGCGTGGCTCCTGCATGGCTGTGAGCTCCACTTCGCTTTGGTCTAAGGGTGGAGTCATGGTGTGCAGCAAACATCTAGATACAGAGGGCTGCCCTAGGCCTCTCTCCTCTTCCTGGTCTCCACTCAGCTGCCACGTGGGGTACTTTAATGTCAGTGAAGGGGGAGGCTTGCTGGTTGTACCCGTAACAGCCAAAAGCAGAGAAATTGCTTGGCTTTGAAAGGGACCATAAAAGATAGCTTTAAAAAAAACCCACGCTGGCCCTCAGTGTTGATAAGCATGCATGCATCTGTGTGCGGGGATCTTCTCATAGTGCTGCAGCCGTCAGCTCTCCCAGAGCGCAGCACGGCTAGCACATCTGTGCTGTGTGTGTTCCAGGGTTCCTGTCTGGAGTGCTTTGGGCGATCGCTGCCTGCTGCTGGTTCCTAGCCAATCACTCTCTCAGTGCTGTGGTCAGCTTTCCAATAATCACTGCGGTAAGTGTCAACATATTTTACTGACTTTGGGCTTTTCCAATGCAGAACTTACTTTTCTGAAGCCGTCTTCCTGAGGCACTAAGGACTGTAGAGGAATTTGCTTACTTGGGGAGTAAAATGTAGAGATGAAGGTGAATGGGCCTGCTCTAATCTCCACGCCCCTGTGTGTTTGGGGACATGCATCCCCTCGTTCTGCTGGGTTTGCTGGTGCTTACTCTTTAGTCCTCTTGCAGTTTTTTCTCCATTTTATTACTCAGTGTTTCACTACTGTGACAGAATCCCCGAGAAAGAAAGCTAAAGGGAGGAGAGGTTAATTAGGCTCACGGTTTCAGTCCATTGCCAGCTGATTGCAAGGCAGAATCATCCCAGCAGCAGGACGGAGAGCAGAGCAGCTCACCTCATGGCAGCTGGGAGGGAGAGAGAACAGACAGAAGAGAGGAGAGAGGGAGTACGCCAGGGGCTGGGGACAAGACAGCCCTCTGAGGCCACACTCCTGGTTTCCGCCTTTCTCCAATTAGGCCTGCTTCCCACAGTTCCCCTTCCCCCTCAACAGTGCATTCAATTCTGAAATGGTCAGTGGATGAACCCCTGATGGCCTCCATCCCCTTGTCCTCTGATGTCTGAATATTGCTGTACTGCAGACAGGTCTTCCATCCCAGAATGAGACTGTTACTGTCCACTGAAAAGCAAGATAGAAGAGGAAGGGAGGAAGGACGGGGAGAGGAAAGATGGAGGGAGAGGGAAGGAGGGAAGGAGAAGAGGGGAGAGAAGACCATGGAAAGGGGAGGAGGAGGGAAGGGGGGAAGGAGGGAGGGCTGAAGCCCATCTAGCAGAGGCAAGGACCCGTCACCTCTGCTCCGAGTCTCCTGAGATAATTTTAAATACTACACCAACTTGTCCAGAACGTTTGTAGCTTAAAATAAGATCAAGCCCACCTTGTTTTCCAAGGTCTGGTTATGTGTAACTTGTACTAATTTACAAAAGGAATCTGTGCACCCTAGTCGTCAGGCCAGGTGTCCCTGGCAGCGGTTTGTGCTTCCGGGCCTCCCTCTGTGGTCCCTGAGGCAGGCAGTCATCCCAGGCTGGCACCTGCTTTTGTGGATGACTCCTGGCAGAGTACTGCTTCCCATATCCAGGTTCCTCCCCACAGCAGTGCTTAGGCCTTGTCTAAACTAGGACTCAGAAAATCACCACACAGCACCCAGCACAGTAACAGAGACCTATAACCCCAGCACTCCAGGAGGCAGAGGCAGGAAAATCCGAAATTCAAGGCCAGTCTGGACCACCTGATGAAACCTTGTTTCAAAAATACATGCATCCTCAGGCAGCTTCAGAGGGCAGCCATTCCAGCTGTACTGGGTTCTACCATAGTCTTGAAAGGGAAAGGAATTTTTTGCAGTAAAGAGGGTAAAAATTCTTGCATGACTGAGGTCACATTAATATGACATCGCCTCTTTTTCTCCTCCCATCCTAAATCCCTGTGGGGGTGTCTGAGGGACCCCGGGCTTCTCAGTTGGTTTGAACTTTGCAGCTCAGGGTTTTACAGCACTGGTGAAACTGCCTTTTGACCTTGCATTCTGGCCCTTGGATGTTGAATCTGCAGATGCTGAGAAACAGAAAGGGATTTGCACTGTGTCGCTTCCACGCCTGGAGTGACCCGATCACTTCTACTAGTCAGGGTTGGATTGGGGAACTCTGTGGAATCACTCAGATGAACTCTTGGAGACTCCCCTGGGGATGGGGCGGAGTCACTGAAAAGGTCACACAATGGTCCTCTCCAGGAAGTCCATCCTGGGCCAGAGTCCTTCTCTTCCTAATGGGTTTGAAAGAAATTAGCAGCAAAACCACATAGCTTCAAGTTTTCAAAAGTTGCAATCATTTCTTTTCTTCATAACTTTCCATTTCCTCTGTCCTATTTTATTTCATTCTTGTCCTTGTTACCTGCCCCGTGACCCCTGGTGAGCTTTTTTGTTTACATTGTTTATCTTTTCTTAAAGCTACCTGGTGCATTCATTTGCATTTATGGTTAAGCATACTTTGCAGCACTGCAATTGTGAAAAATCCTTTCTAAAATATGGGATGTTTCCCTATGTACATCATTTGTCAGGTCCAAAAACATGCTAAAATTTCTTTAATTGTGAAATTATCTAATTACTAAAGAAAGTTACAAGTTTGTTCATTCACTTTATCTTATTAATTCTACATAGTATTCTAAAGAATTAGATGAATAGAAAAACATAAGCCTTTTGCTTATTAAAATATGTGATAGTAAATCACACATTCAAGGAAAGCATTCTATGGCATAAAACATAGCATCATCAAAAAATAACAAAAAAAGTGTGAAGAAAAAATGGAAAGAAAAGTGTTGAATTCTACTTAATGTGACTTATCTTTAGTTAAATGTGGAGTTGGGGTTGAGAATATGGGTAGTTTTCCATGAAAATATTTATGTGTAGTTATAAAGAGTCCTCAGTTTAACTAAACTTTTTACTTTTATTTCAGGGCCCAGGATTGATAGCTGCACTGTGGGGTGTCTTCATTTTTAAGGAAATACAGGTATGTATTAGGAAGGGCAAGTTTGGAGCCCAGGAGTACATTGAGGGAAGGAGGGTGTTTGTGTCATTTTCTGAAAACTGCATGAGGTTCCTGAGTCCAGGGCAGACAACACAGCTCAAATGATCAGAATGGCTCAGTGCCTAACTGAAAAGAAAGTTCTGGAGTTACTCTATGGGCTGCGAAACACAAGGTCTCTTTCCACCTGTACCCAAGTGCGAACATAATTAACACAGTAAACTCTGAGAGAGAATTGTTGCATTTTACACTGTAAAACAGTACAAGGTGACAGATAAGATGAAAGATTTTTTAGCCCAAGGTTTAAAATAACCCTTGAGGCAAATGGAATCTGAGGCTGTATGTTTACATTGGGATCCAAAGGCCTCTGTGTCAAACTGGAAGCTTTACAGGAAAACACTGGATCATAGGTGTCAATCACTTTTTCCAGAGTAATGATGGGAATTAGAAACTGCCCTTAGAGAGTTCCAGTAAAATGTGGATGTGTTCTGTTAGAAACATTTGAGAACTTTCCCATTTCTTGGTAGCTGCAGAAAAATTCTTCAGTTGAAGTTTATATGTCAGTAACATTTGTAGTAGTTTTTATTAAAGAGAATATAAATCAAAGACCATATTTTGGGCTTCCTAGGTAATATTGGCTGTTTAAATATGCAGCATCATAGCAAGTAATTCTTACTTCTAAGAAGATCTGACATTGGGAATCCCTGGGAACCATACAATAAATTTATCTTAGCTGATCTTCAAATAGTATTCAGTTTTAGCTATTGGGAAGCAAATGAAAAATAATGCCGTGTAGTTCAAATGAACTTTTTTGAAATTTGAAGAGAATAAGCTGAAAATCTTAAAAACCCAATAAATCACTTGCTCAAGTTTGAAATAAAAAATCTATAACTTTCTGATGTATGATCAATAACCAGTCAAAAAGGAAAACCACACTAAGAGTAGCAAAGTTTACACACATCTGAGAAAGTAACAAAAAACCCTATCTGTATATTTACAGATTTCACATGTTTAATCCGCAGCTGCCAGCCCTGATCCCGAGCTGGGCTCACCTTTAGTTTGAGCACCGTGTGACTTGCTGTAGCTGTAAGGTCACCTGTGAGGTGTTTGCACTTTGGATGTTCTTCTCTATCTGGTGTTTGTTATTTTGGGGAAATTAGTTTCGGAGAGGTACATTGACCAGTTACTTACAGATGATCTTTCCCAAAACACTTCTGTCAGTGTGTCTACAGGAACACCAACAACATGAACCTTTTCTGTAACTTACAGTTCAGTAGTTACTCTTGGGTTAAATCATGAGATTACCCATTACTTAGAAACTGTTTGAGAAATCTACATTTAAAATTGTTTTTGGCTAGGATGCCACTGTCTCTTTCAAAGGCTTAATATTCACCATTGTCAAAGAAAAACTATTACTGCTGAAAAAATCTAATCAGTGTTTCTCTTAGGACACCAGGCAGTTTGACAAATTCTTAAAACAAGAATGATTTTTTTCACTTACTGAAAATGTTAATCTTCTATCTACATAGACAATAAAAAGTTTGATAAAGTACTCACATAACTAGGCTGTAGGGTGACTATAACCGTCCCCCTTTTATTTATGTAATTGCACCCATTTCTAATTCTCTTTCTAATTAACAAAGGACATTTGGAAATCATCTGAGTATATTCATCTTTTGGAAAAAAAAAATATTCGTTAGAGTGCATATTCCACACTAGTACTAGGATCTAGGTTAGGGTTGAAGGTTAAAAACTAAGAGGAGGTTAGGAAACCCAAGCCTCACTGCACTGTGTGAGTGTGTGTGTATATGTGTGTGTGTATGAGTGTGTGTATATGAATGTGTGTGAGTGTATGAGTGTGTATGTGTGTGTCAGCTGTTCTGCACGCAGCCAGCTGCATCGTAGGCCTTGTGCTTAGACAGATGTCTAGCAGCAGTGACGCTCACAGTGATCAAAGCAAACCAATGCACTCTAGCCCAAATTGGAAGCTGGAGTACACCGAGTTCTCGGTATTTTCTGTTGTGTGTTAATTGGAGTTCATCTTAAGGAGAGCTGTAAGTGAAAAAACAAATTGCCCAGAAGTTTGCATGTCCTGCCATCCTGGCTGTGATTGTTTCTGCTCCATCCGGGCTGCAAGCCGAGCAAACTCACTGCCATGTTTACAGGGAACGGGAGCTGGAGAATCTCGAAGGCATCCCGCAGAAGCGAGGCTTCCCCTTGCCTGAGACCACTGCACACCTGGAGAGGTGCCCCTGGCCCCCACTGGAGCCAGCTGCCTGGCCCATCCAAGGACAGCCTCCCTGTGGGGTGTCCTTAGCAGACCTGGGTGCAAGGTCAGAAAGACAGAAAATCTCCCTATCACATGTGTCTTTGTTGGGGTGCACCCGTCTCCTCAGGCCTCCAGGTTGCCAGGTTTGGTTGCAGGAAGCTGAGCTCCAGTGCCTGCTGCCCTGGTTCCCGGGCCTCCCTGCCAGCCCCAGGATGCACCCTGACAGAGCTCAGGACCCTACATTTAAGACCCAGGCCACTCTTCCCCAGAGATATGACCTTCCCTTCTTGCAGCCTCTTCTGAGTTTCCCCCAAGATGTGGGCCAAGGCTGGGACTGGGCTGGGGAAGAGCTCATCCTTCTAAGGCAGAGCAGGCTGCATGGGCCTGGCTGCCCGTGTCACCTCCCTCTCATTTCCCTTCCTCCAGAGCTGAGTCATTCTATGTGACTTATAATCAAATCATTGCTATTTTTCCTTTTTAAAATTTTTCTTTTGGTACTGGGGATTGAACTCATGACCTCACACTTGCCAGTAAAAGCATTTCTAAAATAGCATATAATTTGACTACTAGAAGCCCCTCCTACAACCCCTGACGACCCCTCTACTACTGTGGAGAGCTCAGTCCTGGTTTACTGTGGGATGCTCAGCCTTGCCGTAAAGTCCACAGGCCTTTCTGTCCTGAATGGGGACATAAACCATCTGGCAGGGACTTGGTGGGGGCCGCTTGGAAACTTCCAATGAAAAACAACCATAGGAGCTGAAGTATTGACCAGGAACAGAGATGCCTTTGGGGGAAGAAGGTGATTATTTTTCAGTGTTGGAGAATATCTCATGTGAGAGAAAATTGATTTAGTCGTACCCCTGGGACAGCTCCCACAGGATGGCAGATATTCCCGTTTAACACAGGACAATATTTCTTTGCTATTACAAGGATGGGCTGGGCTGCCCCAGACACCACACTCAGGGATTCTCAGCCCCTAAGACAGCTGAGACAGTGCGGCTCACCCTCTCCACTTGTACTTGACCTGTGTCCCTCTGGACTAGGACAGTCGCATTATCTTTGCTGCCCATGTTTCCCTTCTGGGCCTCTCTGATCTGTTACTACCCAGCAGAGAAGGGCAGGCTTCACAGAGTGCAATCCTGATCTTCCTGCACAGGCAGGTTCCCATCCTGTTCATGTCTCCCTTGTGGCTTGGATAAATAGAACCCCAAAGCACAATCAGGCCCACTCCTCGGGGCACTCCCCTTTTTTGTTTGTTTGGTATTAAACTTAAATCTAAGGCACTGTACCTCGGGCTACATCTCCAGCCCAACCTCCCCTTCAGATGGGGTCTTGAACTCCAGATCCTCCTGCCTCAGCCTCCAGGGTAGCTGGGATTACAGGCTTGGGTGACCAAGTCTGTGTGTGTCCAACCTCATCTTGTTCCCCTTGTCTCTCATTGCCCCAGCCACACCACCCTTCATTCTTTCCTGGGAAGCATCATTGTTTTTCTTACAACAGTTTCGTATGTAAAATTCCTTCCCCTAGGAACCTACCCAGGTCCTCAGTTCCCTGGGCAACAGGTTGGCAGTTGTAGATAAAGGCTGAGCCACCCACCTTCCTAACAGCTTATTTAAACAACCTTGGAAACTGGCTTATGACTAGCCCTCTGGTGCCAGCCCACTGGTGTGATTCCACGACTCCTGGCACCTCCTGGGGTTCATGATCACAATCGGAAGTGTTCACCTGCATTCACCAAGGGGGTGCATCAGGAGGACTGGTAGGCATCGAAGGGCATCTGGATAATTACGAAGAAGGTGTACCCCAAAGCACCCCAGGCAACTAGAGCAGATGGCCAGTACAGCTGTGAATTACCAAGCCCAGGATGGTAATCCTGTAGTCTTGAATGAATCTGCTTCTTGTGCACTTGATTCAGGTTTTGCATTGAAGCAGCATCATTATGATTATTGTCATTGTTGTTGCTATCATTACTGTTATTACATTGTCGTTATTCAGGGTCTGCGAAACTACCTCCTACTGGTTCTTGCATTCTGCATCATCTTGTCTGGAGCTTTGTGCACGGCATTCTCTAAAGTGTGACCAGCAGGTAGCAGCATGGCCCGTGCACACCTGACCTCTACCGGACAAAGGAACCTGAACTGGGCAGATCCCTCGCAGGCACCAGAGGGATCCCTGCCTGAGTGGGGAAAGAACTGTGAGAATAAACTAAACTGTGAGAATAAACCAAAACTAGGTGTCAGAGAGTTTTAAAACTTCTGCCGGACTGTTAAGGCAGGCAGGACGCTAGCGGGTGACTGTGATACCCGTGCTGCTGTAGGGCCACCTCTGAGCTGAAGTTGTGTTGTTCGGTCTTGCTCTGTGTTCTCCACTATGAATACCTGGTGTTGCATAATCTAGAGAGCAAAGTGGAGTTCACGTACTAATACACTCACATTTCTAGCTTATTGAGCTTGAGGAACCAGAGATAAATACCTCTGGGGAGAATTTAATTCCCTTATGGAATTAAATTTCAGAGTTACTTGGATTCTTTGCAAGAGAAAGCAAATATCAAGCTCGGTGCCTACCTGTTAAAAGGCTGCTCATTGTTTAAAATAAGACCCATTTTCACTTCAAATTAATTTTGCACAAATCTGCATCATCCCTCGGAGCTCCAAATGCTTTTTGATTATCTTCAGATTAAATTTAGAGGAAAAACAGTGCACCATTGAGAATGTGTGCATACGCAGGCACACACAGCCATGTTACTCCATCCCCACCCCTGTGTGTGCTTTTCAGATTTGTGGGAAATGTTACTGTCACCAGGTTCTGGCTGGTAAAGGATAATTTAAAGGGATCAACACTCAGCTGAAGGTATGGTGTTTTTCTGCTTTTATCTAAAATGGTTTAACTAAAGATTTTCCGGTTCTGTGCCTATTTTAACTGGCAGTTTCCCGTAGGCGAAGGAAAATGACAGACATCCTGGCTTTATTTCTTAAAGGAAACAGAACTGCTAATGCATTGTTTACTACCAGGGTTTCCAAACTCTGGATCTAACGAAATTCACCTTCAGATTCAAATTCTGTCCTCCTGACAGTGGCTTACTGTGCTGTACAAGCAAGAGAGGCCAACTCCCTCCTGGGTCTGCTCATGGACTCTGAAGCCAAGTGGCAGCCTTTGCGGTCTGGGCCCCCTCGGCTTCATTTTAACCATGTGGCCACATTGGGTCCTGACAGCTCTGTGTCACCTTTCTCCATGGTGAGTTGGGGTGTCACTGCTGCAGTCTGAATCAACTGAAATCTACAGATGTGTTCATGAATGGCTCCTCCTTGACAAACACTGTAAAGCTATCAATTATTATTATTATTATTATTATTACTATTATTATTATTAAAGCTATCTGAAGAGGGAAAATGTCTACAGATTGGAAAACACCTTGTGGGAGAGTGCTCCCCTTATCACCCCCACCCCACTATACTGTGTTCTTCCATAAGGAAATAGGACACCGGAGTGCCTATCTAATTATGAAATTACTAATGTAAATAAATATTGATTGTAACTTTTTATGATCATCTTGTCATTGAAATATCCTGATAACCTATGAAATCCATTGACATGATACAGAAGTTGTTTTTAAAATACATTTTGAAATTTTACATTGGGTAGATTTTTAAGTATTCTTTTTGTGCAGATTGCCAGTTTAGGGCTGGATGAATACGCAATTCTCAGATGAAGAAATGCAAATGGCAAATAAATACATGAAAAAATGCTCATCATCATTGATCATTAGAGAAATGCAAATTAAAACCACACTGAGATACCATCTCACTCCTGAAAGAATGGCCAGGATCAAGAAAACCGACAACAAATGCTGGAGAGGCTGTGGGGAAAAAGGAACTCTCCTGCACTGCTGGTGGGAGTGTAGACTGGTACAGCCTTTGTGGAGATCTGTCTGGAGATTTCTCAAAAAGTTGGGACTGGAAATCCCATTTATTCCAGCTATTCCACTTCTAGGCATATTCCCAGCAGAACTGAAAGCATCATACCACAGTGATATATGTGCACCTATGTTTATAGCAGCACAATTTGTAATCGCCAGATCTTGGAAACAACCCAAGTGTCCATCAACTGAGGAATGGATAAAAAATTGTGGTATTTCTATACAATGGAGTATTATTCAGCTATAAAGAAGGATCACATTGAGATATTTATCAATAAATGGGCGCAGCTTGAGACCATACTCATAAGTGAAATAAATCAATCTCACATGTGTGAATACCGAATAGTTTCCCTAATGTAAGTAATGATTCAAATATATAAAAATATGTGGTAATCATGATTCCCCATTAGGTGGCCTTGGAGCCTTATAAAGTTTTCACTCATTAATTAGAAAGGCTTTATTCTGGGCTTCTTGATTTGAAAATATTTGAAGCTAGAGTATATGAAGTTTTATCCAAATATATCAAGGAAAAAGACACTTTGGTAACTACTATTAAGTCAGGTTATATGGTGGTGAAGTACTAGGTTGTTGAAACAGTCATGCTGTGACCTCTATTGTTATATTGTTATGTCCTGCTTTATCTCAATCTCCCCCTTATTGTTTTAAAAAAATTATTTAGTCATTTCTTATGTTTGTCTTAATTAAAGAAAAAATTCAAAAAATTAGGATATATAAATAGTAACTCTTTTTGATTTCCTATTAACTTGTTTTGAAGTCCTGTAGTACTCCCACGATCTTGTTTTGACTGATTAGACTCTGTTCCATTCTATATGGTAGTATCAAGTTTGAAGACATAGGCAACTACTTTGAAGACAATAAGATTCACTAAGATACCCATTCTGGTTTGACTATTGTCTTCTTTGGAAGTCCTGTAATGTTTACAATGCCTAAGTTTTATTGGTCTTGTTCTCTACTGTTTTGTCCAACTTTATAATATCTAATGACATAGACAATTCTTTTTAAGGAATCAAGGGACAACGTTGATAACCATTGTTGATAAACTTGTACTCTGTTCTACATCATGTGCTATGTCTATCCTTGGTATTGACTGACAGCTTTGTTTTGCCATATTTGACTGTATTCTCCCCCCCCCCCCCAAAAAAAAAGTAATAAGCACTAAGGAGTAATGAAATCCAAAGTGCGTGAATTTTGTTGTAAAAAAGAGAGGGAAAAAAAAAAAAAAAGAAAAAGAGCTCTAACGGATATAACAGCAAGTGTGTTTAGGGGTGTTAAATAGCTGACTGTATCAATGTTTTTGGATCATTGAACACAGCTGTTTGCAGTCTACCTGTTTGAATGTCCACCTTGTATTCTTTGATACTGTGATTTGAGGAACTATTTTCAAGATGATAATATGTAATATACTAACAGGTGATTTCTTACTGTTATGTTTTTTTTTGTTTGTTTGTTTTGTTTTTTTTTGTTTTGTTTTGTTTTTTTGTAGTTCTGTATTACGTGTACCCTTACACCGCTTTGGTTTGTTTTGTGTTTTTCTCTTTTTCCTCTTAAATAAAAAAAAAAAAAAAAAAAAAAAAAAAAAAAAAAAAAAAATAGCTCTACTGCTAGAGTACACTGGCTTAAACCGGTTTTTTCAAAGCTAGCAGACTAGCATTTTGCTAGTAGACTGTTAAGGTGGTCAACGCCCAGTTCTCTTAAGTCTCCGTTTTCCTTGGCCGGTGGGACCAGATTCTTTCCTTATTCCAATGTTTCCATCTGAGCTTTGTCTCTCGGGACCTGAAACCTCCTCGTATTGCGAGGCGCCCGCCACCTTGTGCGCAGAGTCGGTACTACACCCAGTACCCGTGGGGTCCAGGTTTGGGTGGCACCCAGGGTGAGAACTCCCTGCTCTAAGGAAGGAAGCGCCCAGGAAGCCTTAGGACTCGCAGTGTGGCATTTGCCTTGAGCTGCCACACTCCTGTGTACTAATTTATGTGTGCTAAACCCGATCTGCGCAGTAGCATTAGAGCTGATTTGGAGGCCACGAGAAGCAGTGTCAGCAATGTGGTTTTATACACAGTAATGTGTATTTTCTATGAATGCATATTTATGTAATCAGTGGGGTGACAGATCAAAATGACCAAGCGACGGCTTCTTGTGGTGGCGAGCAGCACAGCACAGATGGAGGAGAAAGGAGCACTGACCAGAAGGCTGGGCTGCACACCTGCCATCCCAGGTTATTTAGGAAGATTATTTAGGAAGTCAAGTGAAATGCTTAAAAGCAATCTATTTAAATAGAGTTCTTTTAACCAAAAAAGTAATGACTAGGCATTACAATGTTTTTCTGACCCAGGACGCCTACCTTTCAATTACTAAATCACTCCCAACAAGTTGGTGGCCAGGTCTGTTTGCACTTCAGAAGCTAAAGATTCATTTTTCTCCAGTAATAAAATCTGTACACACAGCTCTGTTGACCAGATTTGAGGTAAACAGACAAAAGCCTCTCAAGTTCCAAGTGGGAGACCTCCCAGTGAGACCTAGTGCAGTGGGTCACTCGCAGGAAGGCAAGGATAGTTTCTGGGCAGAGGACATGAGCTGTAGCAGAGCATGGTGTCTGAAGACCCTAACACATCTTGCTGAGACCCGGACTGTGTTCATTTCTTTTTCTCTTTTGTAAACATGGTTTCTAGTGCATTTCTACTTTACATGAGTAAAGAATTTGTAAACCTGCCTTTCACTTGCAAGGTTTTGATGTTGTGACACTAAGGTCACATAATTCTCCCCCAGAAAGTCTTCTTCAGCTTCGCTTGCCTCTCAAGTGACTTGGATATCATGGTGTCTTCAAATGCATGTGACAGTTAAAATTATTGCAAATTCTTGTGAAAAGTTGCTTTATTCATGTTGGGTTTTAAGAACCTAATAATGTGTCACACACAAATGAAAAAAATTCTTTTTGCATTAAGGTCCTTATCTGCTTTGGTTTGGTCATAGCTTAATTGAATCTCCTGCAAAGCTAGTGTTGGAAGGTTGGGCCCCAGGGGGAATTGACGAGAGGGGGGACCCTTTAGTTGGTGGGGCCTGGTGGTCCTCAGGTCATGGATGTGAGGCTTTCTTGAGGACTCAGTGCAGTAGCCCTCCAGGGAGCACTGCCATAGTGGATGGAGCATGGCCCCGCCGGCTCTCCTGGTGTCCTGGCCTGAGCCACCCACTTGGATACACTTCCTCCAGTGCCTTTCACCGTCTGCCATGAGGGGATGTAGCTAAGCTGCACCCTTCACCCTAGAATCTGAGCTGTGCTGCCTATCACCTGAACCCCCAGGACTGTAAGCTACGTACCCCTTTTCTTCATGAGCAACCTACACCAGGTATTGTGGTATATAGTATCAGAAAGCTCTCTAGGACTCTGTGCAATCTCACTTGCCTGTGGTTCTTGTTTCTTTCTCTCTTTGATGCAGAGGATAGAAGCCGAGGTCTCATGGATGCTAAGTGTGTGCCCTGCCACAAGCTAAAGCCATGTCCCCTCTGTGATTCAGTGACACAGGTGTGTAGTAATGCACTGAATGATACTCTCAGTGTTGATTATTATTGTTATTATTGTTATTATTATTTTTGGTACTGGGGATCATACTCGTGACCTCGCACTTGCCAGGCAGGCGCTTATGCCACTGAGCTAAATCCCCGGCCCTTATACTCTCGGTGTTTTACTGACAGTTTTCTTTGCATCTGTGACACCGGCCCCAGCAGGAGAATCAGCTTCTGTGCGCCCACAGTTTGAGTTCCAGCTGAAGACTGGGGAGAACTGTTCTGTTCTGTCTCTGGCAGGGGAAGGGGTTAATGGAGAAGCCTCTTTGTACCTGATTGATGACTTCCTGCTCTGTCTCTTCTTTTTTATAGTGTGGGCAGGCACTCAAACCTAAGGGTTGAGATGCTGGCATTTTTAGTCTCATTAAGCAGCATGCCACTCTGAGAACAGGGCCCCCCTTTCCGGTGTATGACTCCCAGGGCGCCGATCCGCATTCCTTGCTCCACGCTGCCCCCTGAATTCAGCCTGTCACCCCCATGGAACATCGGAGGCCCTGAATCGGCAGGTCCACGGCTGAGCTCAGTCTTTAGGTCCGAAGCTTCCAGCGCCTCCCTTCAGCCTCCTGAAAATTCAGGGCTGAGACAGCTTTGAGTCCGGGCTCCCCACCACCAAGTGTTCAGTAAGTGCCGGACCTGTCGGGGCTGGAGTGCAAGAGAGGCCTGCAGAGGAGATATCCTGACCTCACCGGGAGCGCTGGCCTCCTGCCCAACCACCAGCTTAAACTCCTCTTCCTCTTGTGCTCCTAGACTCTGAGCCGTTCTCCATCCTCTCTTTCATACTCATCTCTTGCCCGCTCACCCTTACAAGCCTCTCGAGCTCACAGAACATTTCTGTGCAGCTTTGTGGTTCCCCTTCACTGACCTAAACTGCAGCAAAATTCTTTTGTAAAGCAGGTGCTCATGAATATTTCCTGAACAAATCAAAATAATCTCAAAGGCCTTCTTGGAGGTTAAAGTTTTGCATCCGCATTTAGGTTTTACACCGAAAGAAGCAGTCTGAAAAAAGATGAAAAAGCATAAAAATTCAAGATGGTTTGCAGTTTGA